CACACACTCAAGAAAGGTGGTCATCAACGCACAAGTACTACTTGTTCAACAAGTTGTATGATTGTAAATTTTTTTTAAATTTAATTTCATGATTCTAGTCACGACATCTGTACCTCAGTGATTATTCAATCATTATTGATCACCATGTAATGATTCCTTCCATCTTAATGGCTTTAAGTCTTTTAATGTATGTGAGAGTAAATCATAATTTATTAATCACTTGATTAAAAAATGTCTCTTGCAGTTTAAACTGTACAGAAAGATGCTGTTATGTTCTGATTCTTTATCGGGATACCTTACACAAATGCCACATATTTAACCTGTGCAGCTTTTTATTGATTCTTTCTAAAGAGTCAACTAGCAAACACGGGTACTGATGTGCTAACAGCTCTTAACAGACTGTCTGCTGGATGCCTCTTTTGTTCCTGGAAAGGTGTTTAATGGTTTTTCTGTGTAAGAATGGTACTTTATTTGACATGTTCCACCTGACTATTTTAGCAATAATCAGTGTCATCACTTTAAAATACTTATTGATCTGCTGACTGTTTGAACAAATGACACTTGGGAGCTTGATCATTGTGGTTTTGTAGGTATATAATGGCTATGTAATGCTAATAAATCATGTTTAACACATACAGCTGGTTTAAAGTATGGAGATCTCAGAATTTGCGAATACAAAGTGACTGAAGCTGAAGTTTAAAGGGGCACCAGTGTTACACATGAAGACCAATTTACTTCTCACCATTAGTACTATTCAAACTGAAAATAATAATGCCTTGAGATGTCATTTTATTTTATAGAAAGCCTGTGTTGAGAGGCAGTGAGTGTCTAACTAAAGGTTATTGAGTTGCAATATGGAAACCATACTATAAAGTATGTTTGGAGGTTGACCCAGAGGAGGGGCTGAAAAATAATAAATTAGATTTATGTAGTGTTTTTCTGGGTACTCAAAGATGCTTTACAGAGGGTAAGATGAGATGATGATATCTTTAAATCTCTCGCAATCAAATCAAGTTCACACAAACTTAATCGCTAACTACTTTAATACATAATTAATCCTTTTTTTAATTTTTCACGGAAAAAATTCCACACATTTACAGAAAATAACCAGGAGATTCATCCATAATGAAAATACTAATTAGCTGCAGCCCTTAAATATACATTAGGTCTGGTCCTAAAAGTAGGCTACTTCAGTTGCAGTGGTGGGAGTATAAAATTGTTTACTTAAATACTTAACTACTATTACTTAAATTACGTAAAAGTCCTGCATTCAAAACCTTACTTCAGGGAAAGTATGTAAATTAGCAAAAGCTAAAACTACATTATGCAGAAGAATGGTCCCTAGTGTGTCCAATCGTTCTGTGTAGCTCAAACTGTTGCCTGCATCACGTCCTCCTCTCATTTGCGCAGGGCCAAAAATGATCTGCAACTAGGCTACAGGTTAAAATAACTTTCTAAAGTATGTCTTTCACCGTGATTTGTTTTACTCCATGGATTATTTACCTCTCTGTAGCGGCGCGCCTGTGTATTAGCTCTGCTGGAAAGTGAAAGTGAAACTTAAGTTCGGTTATTTTAGTAGTTTGTATTAAGTTTAATACAGCAGTGTATGAGTAAGGGCTGGACGATATGGACAAAAATAGTACAATCATTATTTAATCATTATTTTTATTATTATAAGTTTAAAGGCAGATTTTTTGCTCCTGAAGAAACCAGATAGTTAATTGTGCTTTTAAACTTTTCTTTATGGTCAGAACATGACAAACACTTGATTCCAAAAAGCAGCCTGGTATCAAACAGTGGATCACTTCACAAAGCTGAGGGAGAACATTCAAAACAAATATGCATGAGAAAAATAAAGTAATATCTTTTTTCAGTCCCTTTTCCTCAACACAATAAATATCTTAATAGAAAAGAAAGTGCTAATTCGTTTGTGATTGAAATAAATTAAATCAAATATTTATTGAACATTTCTATATTGTTATTGAGGAAGATTGCATCACGATAATTAACATTATTGTTTTATTGCCCTGCCCTAGTTCACCACAAACGGACATGATCAGTTCACCAAAAACCTGAGCATGATCAATAGGCCTAATTGCCACTGTTAGAGCATGTTTATGCATGACACTGAATGGACACACTGTGTAGGTTCCTGTCTGCGCTGTCAGACATTTGTATTTTATTTGCAGAAGGCTGTGACCGGTACATATTTCCACCCAAGTAGTTGTTGTACGTGGATAGACAACATATTTGCATCCATGTGGTCACGTTTTGTTGATTGGATCACAATCTGTCCTCAATGCGTCTCGGGTGCATTTATACCTGTAGGCCTACTTATGACTACTCATGTGGTCAAGTGCTACCTGATCACAATCTGATCACCCAAATACATTTTAATGCCAGGTGTAAACAGCCTCTATGTTCCCCGATTCAGAATATGCAAGTGTTTTTTTGTATTACAAAATGTACCTGTAATCTGATTACGCCTTTTTTTCTGTACTGTAACAAAATACAGTTACTTTATTTTTGTAACGCCGTTACTTGTAATCGGTTACTCCCCAACCCTGGACCTCACTGAAATAAAAGAGAGCAGACACTGGGACATCTCATCCACACAGTAAAATCAGCAAACCCAAATTAACATGGTCAGAGTTGATTTTAATACTTTTAAAGTGTCTATATGGGTTCACACCAAAGAGCACTTCTCATAATTTCTTTAAGCAAAACATTAAATATATGAACACAATTGTAACTTCCTTCCAATTTATTTTAATTCCCTCACACTCATGCAATTATTTAATACTTTTTAACATTTTTACTTTTCTACAAAATAATCAGTTCACACAGAGACCACGGTCTTCTTTAGTATTTGCAGGAGCAGGCAACAGCAAAGGAAACTATGCCACAGTAAGCATGTTATCTATGCTACTAGTATATATTTAGAATACATGACTGCACCAAGGAGAGGGATATAGTTTTATTAATAATTTGTTTATTTTTCACAAGGCAATAAATTGTTTTAATTCTTTTGGTGTTATTTGTCGTGGAAATTGTATCTCTCTGGTGAGGGATTAAGCAAATTATTGACACATAAACAGCTGGTCCAGAGACCTGCTGCCTAGGGCAGCTTCAGGCGTCTGGCCCTGAGCAAAGAGATGCATAATCATTTACATAGTCTAGGTTTCTATGTTTTGGGGAACAGAGATCATCTCTTGGCTTTGAATGAACATTCCAGGACAGGAGAGGAACAACAAGAGAGGGAAAACACCAAAACAATCTAACAGCTCTGACATAAACCTAACATAAGGAGTATAGAAGAAGGAAAGGTTAAGGATAAAAAACCCAATACATCTATATCTATAAGCCATAACAATAATAGTAATAATACTAATATTAAAAGATTAAGTGTAAGAGGACCCTAACACATACATACACTTCAAAATAAAATAAAAATCTTCACACTAAACTGTGGCACTGGGCTGAAGGCATAATTAAAATAAATGTTATTTAAATACTTTTTTTTTAACAAGCACGACACCAAATTTGTAAAGATAACCTTCAGCTTCACACAGCCATGCAACAGAATACTTAATAGCCTGAATACATTAATGTTTTGATCAAAAAAAGAATTACATTAATTGTTAGAAAAAGCCCAAAGTCCAGCCCAAAGGGAGTTCCCATCTCCCACAGAAAGCACTGCTCTGAACCAAGGGGACAGATCGGACAGTGAAGCCGACCAAAGCCTGCATGGAGGGATCCATGTAGGCCCAAAAATGACGTCAAAACCCTGTGACACCCCGTCGCACATGAGAGATGTAACCGTATTGCTTAGATTATAAATTTTTCGGCCATCAGTGTTTCACTGCATTGGTGTTTCACAGGTGAGCCTCGTAGGTGGGCTGATTAATCAGTGACGATCCGAGTCAGACAAACGCACTGAGCCATGAAACTTTTTGTTGGTGCAGCTACGCAGCTACCAGAATTACGGTGTTTCTGCTGTTATTCTAGGTCATCAAACCACGGCTATGCTGCGCGATCATGCGCAGTAGACGCTGGTGCCAACAGGAAGTAGCCCTCTAGTAGTATTTTATTGGTCCAAAACTGGCTTCACTGCTCTCCATTCAAATCAGCAGAGTGGCTTCGTCCAGTAATATACTGTCTATGCTCTGAACTCCCTGAAAACAGCTCTTTGTAGTCCAGCCCTTCACTTCCTTTACTTGTGACGTCACAATGAAAATGCGTCATAAAGCTTGCCAAGCGGCTAGTGGGGGTCAGGCACGCCCTCAAACCAAGCTTGTCTGAGCGGAGGCCCTTTGATTTTAGTTAAGCCCCTTAAACCATAGACTGTATATAAAACTCCCCTTTGTTTGGTTTTCCATTGTAGAAATGTTGTACCTGCTTCCAGGTACTTTTTTTCGTATCACCTCACCTCCGTCGAGGTTCCAAGCGAGCTGAGGGATACTAAAATGTAACGTGAAAACGCGACTGCTGATTGGTCAGAGAGAATATTCACTATTCATCCAACGAAGGTTAAAGTCAAGGGCAACTGGACGTGGTGGAAGATACTGGAAGGCGTTTCGTCCCTCATCCAAAGGACTTCTTCAGTTCTGACTGACTGGCAGGGAAACTCAGCTGTTTAACCTCAGTGGGGTCATTTGCCAGGGTCATTGATACTGCTGGTTCGTTAGTTAGAGGTTAAACAGCTGATTTCAAAAAGTGTCCAATAAAGTATTTGCACAGGCTGTGTGCCTGTGACTTGTAAGATAATGTCATACATTTACATAATTAAATGTTGGTCAATTGATTTATTTTAAAAGAACTGTAACATCTTAGAAACATGAAATAGGCCTTTCCTTTAGTAAACAGGTGGTTTCCATTCCCAAACCTGTGACTTTAGTTGAGTAGCCAATCAGTAGTCACCAGGTGCACTCAATTAACTTCAAACCACCACCTGCAGCATTTCAAGAGGCTACATCTTTGTCTGGGTGTTCAGCAGTTACAGGAAAGCCTTCACATTGCTTCATGGTTGGTGTCAGAGTTGAGCTGCTGGTGGTCCTGACTGTGACTCTGCTGGTTTCAGTAGAGGGATGGCCACAGATAAAGAAAATTCAACGTACTAATGTTTATGAGAGCCGCCAGCTGTCTGAACCACGAAGTGCTACATCGCCAGGTAAACGACCACCAATGACACAGCACTGATAATGAGCGTGTGGTCACTGAAAGCAGGTTCTTGCAAATGTCTTCTTTCACATAAGCCTGCATTAAGAACTTCACCATATTAACAAATCTGGGTCTGCATATGTTTTTACAGCTGGACCATAATGTAATTTATAAGGGATGGTTACAGACATCACTGTCATTTACAGAGTTAAGTCACAGACTTTGATTGTTGTTATCACCTTGTTTTTTTTCTGTGTGTGTGTCACTCTTGGATGGACTGAGACTTAAGAAGCTTGCTTGTAGAAATGCATGACCAAAAAAAATTATATCCAGATGGTGTGTTCCAACATGAGTGTTTATTTACTTCCTGCTTACAGAGGTTGAAAGAAAATGATTGCATGAACTAAATGTTAACTAAGGTATTGATAACAATACAATTGACACAAGGTCTAAACCGTATGCTCCTTCAGTCAGCTATGCCACTAGGCTGCAGCACACTCCTTATTCCTTTTGGACCTGCAAGGACATGAGCATGAACAAATCATGCAAATATTTAAATTTACAATCAAATTGGCTCCTACAATGATCCTTCTGCTGTTTAAAAACAAACTAAATTAACTTAGTGGATCAAACCTATGAGACGTTATTAGCCTATGTAACTCCATGAGCATAGAGCATCAAGCATAGATGACCTGAGATGTCTGTTTCAGTCATTCTAGCAACTGCTTAGTCATGAAGACTTCGGAAGAAGCTATTTGGTTGGGCTGTTTACATTGACTTGACAGGAAATGGCTGTATTTTTTTGACTGCAGTCATCTGAACAATTGCGCCTCTCTCCTCTAGATGACCGCAGGGAGGACGACCACAGTGAAGATGCAGTTCTTGAGGATTCATTACTTCAAGTTCAAGGTGCCAACACCAGTGGAAACTCATACAATTTTGCTAACCATGGAGACCAGATTGATGCAGTAGTTTCTAGTCCAAGAACATGGCGCAGAGGTACTGATGGTGGTTTCCAGATGGAACTTGAAGATATCCCTTCAAGGAGCCAGACTAGCAGTACCGGTCAGCGTCGGACTGGGCTAGATGTGATTTGCGGTGATGTTGGCTTCCAAATTACTCTGCTGACCGGTTCATTGAGTGACGTTAAAGTTGTGGGTATGTACTTGACTGTTGTGCATATTTAAACTCAAGTCTTTATTTTGCTGAATGCATGTTGTAAACTGACTGGGCTTTCATGTCCATCAGGCTCAAAGGACCTGCTGTCTGTTATGGATGCTCCAGAGTCTTGTGGGTATGAAGTGAATCCTTGGACTAAAACCTTGGCTGTACCTTTCACAGGGTGCTATGTGAAACAGGTAGGTTTCTGTAAATGTACTGTAAAGTAATTGCCTTGGCTGTGTAATCTTCTAAAATTGTTGCATTTAGTCTTGTATGTCTTGAATTGAGTTCAATCCTCAAAGCTCTGAATATTACAGAGTGACCGCTACAGCCTGCAGTTGTTGTATGTCGACGAGTTTGATCAGACACAAGTTACTACCACATCTTGTGAGAGAAGTCTGAAGTTTGACCCAGGCGTGTTCCCTCACTCCAGCGGCCAAATAAAACACATTGACCCAATCCCAGTGCTGCCGCAACGGCCTACATGTCTGCAGCGGCCAGGGTCGCCGCCACAAGGGCCCCAGCGGCCAGGGTCGCCGCCACAAGGGCCCCATGGTGAGTACAAACTGCCTTCAGCAAATGTGCTGAATACTAATGTTAACACTATACAGGTATTTGATGTCAATGTGTTTTTTTTTGTCATTGTCCGATTAGGTTGTGGGATACCCACAGGGGAGCAGGTGACTTGTGGCCAGTCAAGAATATTGTCCTCAGACTGTGAGATGATGGGATGCTGTGTGAATTCTTCTACATCTGCCTGCTACTACCCAATGGATGGTGAGGCTTCTGTTTAGGGAGACGTGGTTTAAAAAAATTCAAATAGGAAATGTCTTTATTTCAAGTGACCCCCCCCCCACTCCTCTGTAGAGTGCACTGTCAATCAACACTTTGTGTTCGCCATTCGTGCCAACTCTGCATCCATCCCTGTGGACCCCACCAGGCTCGTTATTTCTGGGAGTGATGGGAGTACAAACTGTAAACCAGTCATTGTCAACGACAAAGTTGCCATCTTTAACTTCAAAGTTACAGAATGTGGAGTTCATGCTTATGTAAGTCGTCCCCTTTGTTTTTCAATTGCACTTTCCACTTTGTTTTTAGCAAGTTGGAAGATGCTTCACAACTTGACTGCCGTAAAACTTAGTTTAAAAGCTTTGTCCTAGTTAAGCTATATTCACACTGCGGTCCTTAATACTCAATTCCAATTTATTGCCCACATCTGAGATTGACTGAACATTGGCAAGATCCTTGGAGGGGAGATGGTGGTGTTTCAAATGTTAACAATCTCAGGCTACTAAAACCTAATTTTTATTTCACTTTCTGCAACAGAGTTGCTACCTATCCTGTGAACAGTTTTGGTTTTAGACATTATGGCTTAACAATTTCCAGCCAATTTGATAAAGACAGCAGAACAGCAAGAACATCCTGTTCTCTGACAGTCAGAGCCAATTGGAGCAGGGTGGGTCATAGCTTTGCCAAGTAGGATTCAGTGATGGGATTAGGGCTCTTTGAAGGGAGTCAGATATTATGGATCCCTTCCTTTCCAAGAGCTGGCCCTTTCGGCTCCCAAACAGCTCTTCATTTAGTACCACTTCTGATTAGATTCAACTTTATGCTTATCTGCATAATATCTTTATCTGATTTGGGCTACATATTAAAGTTGCCTGAATTGTAAAGGATCAGATTCCATGTGACTTGGGCTGTTAACACTGTTACCAAAAATCTGATCTGAGTCTCGCATGCGCCAAATAATCAGATTGGATAGTGATTGCCTTCGATATCTGTCCCCCCCCTTTTTTTTTTTTTTTTTTTTTTACTGGTGTGGAAATTTGTTAAAAAATAAATGCAGGACTCAAACACCTGGTCTGGTTTTTAGAAGTTCTTTAAATGTATAAAACCTCTTAAAGCCCACCGGTTCGCCCTCTTCAGCTAGTTCTAAGTTGCTGAGATCGCCCATACACTAAGTGCTTAAACTTGTAAATATGGACACGCACTCATTGTAATATTGGCGTGTTTCCCCCACAGTTCAATCATTCATTCAGTTACTTAGAAACAATTTAGACCTACTGGGATGGTAAACAAGTGAAGACGTCATGCAATTGTGGTATGACGAGGATGTGATTCTATATTTTAATTTTTAAAAATTGCGAACACCACCTGGGGAATTTCACCCCAGGAACTACAATCAAGAGGTCCCACAGGTTCACCTGAAATAAGGCCAGAGCATAGTTTCACATGTAAACAAATTTTATTGACAAAATACTAATTGAAGACAACCAAAAGTTCTTTAACAAGGCATGCCATTATTGAATAAAAAATATGGGCCAAATCATTTGAAATACAGTGGCAAAAAGAATTAAACGCCACACAAATGAATCAAACGTGCAAGCTCCTGTTCCACCACATCCCAAAGATGCTTTATTGGGTTGAGATCTGGTGACAGTGGGGGCCATTTTAGTACAGTGAACTCATTGTCATGTTCAAGAAACAAATTTGAAATGATTCGAGCTTTGTGACATGGTGCATTATCCTGCTGGAAGTAGCCATCAGAGGATGGGTACATGGTGGCCATAAAGGGATGGACATGGTCAGAAACAATGCTCAGGTAGGCCGTGGCATTTAAACGATGCCCAATTGGCACTAAGGGGCCTAAAGTGTGCCAAGAAAACATCCCCCACACCATTACACCACCACCACCAGCCTGCACAGTGGTAACAAGGCATGATGGATCCATGTTCTCATTCTGTTTACGCCAAATTCTGACTCTACCATCTGAATGTCTCAACAGAAATCGAGACTTATCAGACCAGGCAACATTTTTACAGTCTTCAACTGTCCAATTTTGGTGAGCTCTTGTAAATTGTAACCTCTTTTTCCTATTTGTAGTGGAGATGAGTGGTACCCGGTGGTCTTCTGCTGTTGTAGCCCATCCGCCTCAAGGTTGTGCGTGTTGTGGCTTCACAAATGCTTTGCTGCATACCTCGGTTGTAACGAGTGGTTATTTCAGTCAAAGTTGCTCTTCTAACAGCTTGAATCAGTCGGCCCATTCTCCTCTGACCTCTAGCATCAACAAGGCATTTTCGCCCACAGGACTGCCGCATACTGGATGTTTTTCCCTTTTCACACCATTCTTTGTAAACCCTAGAAATGGTTGTGCATGAAAATCCCAGTAACTGAGCAGATTGTGAAATACTCAGACCGGCCCGTCTGGCACCAACAACCGTGCCACGCTCAAAATTGCTTAAATCACCTTTCTTTCCCATTCTGACATTCAGTTTGGAGTTCAGGAGACTGTCTTGACCAGGACCACACCCCTAAATGCATTGAAGCAACTGCCATGTGATTGGTTGATTAGATAATTGCATTAATGAGAAATTGAACAGGTGTTCCTAATAATCCTTTAGGTGAGTGTAGGAACTAGGCCCAAAGAAATGCTAAAACCAGCAAGCCCGCTTAGTGCTAAAACAGAGCCGGGAACTGGGCCGACCAGGCAGAGGACAATCCCACAGGGGGGGGAGAGAGGGAGATGTACCCAGAGACGAGGCAGACAGACCAAGCTGCCATTCAAACCCCTGCTGAGGCAGCAGTGCAGCGGATCACTAGAGGGAGGGGAAGATTTAGTACAACTATATAATTCGCATGTGTGTATATATCCAATTAAATGGGATACAAGAGACATGCATACATACCCCCACGATTCCACAGCGCGTGCACACAATCAGGCCAGAGCGAGACAGCCCGCACAGCAAACGATTTGCCCTGAAACAATCAGGGAGCACTGTTTAACCACAATGCGCTAACCGCACACAGCAGACAGTTACATCGGCAGACGGCACACTTGCCACACGGACCAAGAGCAATGTTGCATGCACATACAGAACGCCTACCAGGTGACTCCACAGGTTTAGGGCTGTTAAACATCAGCTAAACTGTTGCGCTACAGGCCGTGACAGCACTCGCATCAGCACACCACAACACCGGACCACCGTTGCCAACAGTTGAGACGCCCACCCAGGTAAGAGGCTGCCACAGGTGCATCATCACCTGTACTTATAGGCCACAGCAGCAGCATCCAGTTGTCAGGGCACCAGTGCAGTGCCACATAGTGGAGGGAGGGGGGGGAACTCTCAACCTGCCACACGAGAAATTCACTGGTTGAAATAAACAAATTGATAGCTACCCTTTTCTGAGCAAGAGTTGTGTGAAAGGAAGTACAATGCATGTCCTGATACTCCCAAATACAGGCATATTTAATGCTGCAGCCCTCTACGTTTGCCTGGAGTTCCTCACCCTGACCTGCCATTGTGGCGCACGGTTATGTCACATGTTGATAGTGTCGCATCTAGATTTTAGATTTTTAATCGTGTGCCATAAAGTGCACTTTAAGTTAAGATCTTACATTCAAATGCCTTTTCTTGACAGGAAGTTGGTGAGACAATTATCTACCTGGCTGAAGTGCAGACTGTTGTCCAATCTCTGACCCTCCAGTATGGTGTAATTACAACACGTGATCCACTCAGGTTAGTGGGTTACACAATACACTTTGACTCTGTGGGCACAATTCTACCACTCTATTGTTTTTGTGTGTAGTGCTAAGCTTAAATGTTAACCATGTATTTGCATAGGTTCATGGTTGAGTGCCGCTATAGCAAAGCAGGTGTTGCTCCGCAGTCACTAACCAGCGTTGGCTACATGGTGAAGACCCCGAGTTCCAGCTTGCCATCAGCGGTCCTCTCTAGTGGCTTATATGCTGTTGAATTGAGAATTGCTAAAGGTCAGGTATTTATGCCTTACACTCTAAACCAATTGCAATCAAAGTACAATCTTAAATTCTGCTGGAGTAAGTCTCAAATTGACTTTTTGTCCTTCATTGACTGTTTGCTCTTTGTCTAACCCCAAAAGATCAGACGTATTCAAGCTACTTTCCCACAAACAACCGGCCCTTGCGACTGCTCCTTGGCAAGCCAGTCTATCTTGAATTGCGCCTGATATCTCCAAAACCAGATGCGGTAATCCTTGTCAACTACTGTGTAGCTTACCCTCGCTCTGCAAGGAACGCACTGGTGCTTATTTATGAAGGGTAAGCATGACTGAACTCAATGTGTATTGAACCACATCTTCCTCCTGTACACCTAACCATAAGCTGTTTCTCTCGAGGTGTCCCAACCTTTATGCTCCAAATGTGTCCATCCTTAAAATCATTGACTGCAAAAATCGTCACCAGAGGCGGTTCGTGGTTGATGCCTTCCAGTTTATGGTTCAAAAGACAAACAAATACCTTGATGAAGAAGTAAGTATTCAGGAAGCCATTATGGGCCTAAAATGGTCAAAGCTACGCTGTATACAACTGGTGCAGACTGAGAAGTTCCCTGACACAGTAATGTTGTGACTTGTTATTTACAGGGTTCCTTTTTTAAAATGGAACAGTAACCTGTTGACTAAATGTATCCTATCCTGCTATGGTTGCAAATCTGAAATGAAATTTACAAAATAAGTCTGTACTACAGCTTGTCTAGCTCTCAAGTGTGAAGTCTCTGCTCCAATTGAATTGCCTTCACTTGAGATTTTGTACTGTAGAGGCAACTTGTCCCTGGTTCCCACACAGACTTTACTTGTGTATTAACGGCTGCCAAAGTATATTTGGTGACCCTGTAAACATTTCAATTATCAGTCTCGGCGGCCATCCCCAATTGACAACACCGGATTGTTACCACTGTCATTTGGTACCATGTTTTCAATGGGGCCACATGCGGCTCGTGTTGTGAGAATGCATGCATATTTTTTTTTTTTCCCCGTAGATCTATTTCATGTGCTCTACAGAAGTGTGTTTGGCAGCAGATAGGCCATGTGAACATCGGTGCTTTAATGGAAAGGTGAGTCTGTAAACTATGCTACTACCTCAGGGTTTGTGTGTGGGTTTTGTTTAAAGTCCTAATCAATTTCTCCTAGGCACCATAAGGATGCTGCAGAAGACTTATGAAGATAAGGGGGGGGGGGAATAAATGAACAATTTTATAACGCAGTATACCAGGTCTTGTGTCTGTTAATGTAGACTTGTAAGTCGGTAAATGACTTGAGTGGGATGAAAACACACTTCCCTTGTGAAACAGTGACTCTGTTCATACAAGGAGACTGTTGGTAGTGATCTTCAGCGTCTTGATCAAGGTTTGAGCAGAGGAATCTCTCTACTGGTCATAATTAGAATATCTCAAAAGGTGATTTATTTCAGAAAGTGAAACATGTTATAACTGACAAATGGTCTCTCAGAAGACTGCTGACTTGACAGCTGTCCAAAAGACGACCATTGATAACTTGCACAAGGAGGGCAAGACACAAAAGGTCATTGCTAAAGAGGCTGGCTGTTCACAGAGGTCTGTGTCCAAGCACATTAATAGAGGCGAAGGAAGGGAAAAGATGTGGTAGAAAAAAGTGTACAAGCAATAGGGATAACCGCACCCTGGAGAGGATTGTGAAACAAAACCCATTCAAAAATGTGGGGGAGATTCACAAAGAGTGGACTGCAGCTGGAGTCAGTGCTTCAAGAACCACCACGCACAGACGTATGCAAGACATGGGTTTCAGCTGTCGCATTCCTTGTGTCAAGCCACAGCGTCAGAAGCGTCTCGCCTGGGCTAAAGACAAAAAGGACTGGACTGCTGCTGAGTGGTCCAAAGTTATGTTCTCTGATGAAAGTTAATTTTGCATTTCCTTTGGAAATCAAGGTCCCAGAGTCTGGAGGAAGAGAGGAGAGGCACAGAATCCAAGTCCAGTGTAAAGTTTCCGCAGTCAGTGATGGTTTCGGGTGCCATGTCCTCCGCTGGTGTTGGTCCACTGTGTTTTCTGAGGTCCAAGGTCAACATGTTGGGTCAGATGTATGACCAGGCTGGGCCAGTTAAGCCTGGTCCCCACCTTTGCCAACTTAAATGTTGTCAAATACTCAATTAGCTTTCTATTAGTCAAATTTACAATCAAACTTCTCTGGATGCGGTCAAGAGTCGGTGCAAAAGGAGTTTATGCCAAAACGGGACACAAACCCCATACAATATCCCAGCAGCTATGGCCTACAGACAGTCTTATATCTTCTGGGCTGGTTTGCCCCCTCCTTTCCTCATGAACTTTTCCTCTGTTTTTACCAATTAACACTGTTCCCCAGCTGTAATTTATTACTGTATTGTAGACTTTCTACATCTTTACACTACTAGATAGTTCATCCTTTACATTTCAACTTCAGTCTCACTTTTTTTTTTTAAAAAAGGTTGTGCATGCTTAATTTGACACAATTGTTTTTTTTTTGTGTTTTTTTTTTTTAAGCAATTAATATAAGAATAACAAGTAAAGTCCCAGAGTCTGGAGGAAGAATGGAGAGGCACACAATCCAAGATGCTTAATGTCCAGTGTGACATTTCCACAGTCTGTGTTGGTTTGGGGAGCCATGTCATCTGCTGGTGTTGGTCCACTGTGCTTTATTAAGTCCAGAGTCAGCGCAGCCGTCTACCAGGATATTTTAGAGCACTTGATGCTTTCCTTCAGCAGACAAGCTTTATGGAGATGCTGACTTCATTTTCCAGCAGGACTTGGCACCTGCCCACACTGCCAAAAGTACCAAAACCTGGTTCAATGACCATGTGCTTGATTGGCCAGTAAACTCGCCTGACCTGAACCAAGAGAAAGATGGAAGACATGAGACCGAACAATGCAGAAGAGCTGAAGGCCGCTATTGAAGCATCCTGGTCTTCCATAACACCTGGCGGTGCCACAGGCTGATAACATCCATGCCATGCTGCACTGAGGCAGTAATTCATGCAAAAGGGGCCCAAACCAAGTACTGAGTACATATGCATGATTATACTTTTCAGAGGGCTAATATTTCTGTATTTAAAATGCTTATTTTTATTGATTTCATGTAACATTCTAATTTTCTGAGATTTTGAATTTGGGGTTTTCATAAGCTGTACGCAATAATTATCAAAATTATATCAAATAAAGGCTTGAAATATCTCATTTTGCATGTAATGAGTCTATATTGGTTTCACCTTTTAAGTTGAATTACTGAAATAAATGAACTTTTGCACGATCGCTAAAGAGTGAACTAGATCGTTTCCTTATCATGGTTGAGTATCACATGCGCTGTACCGGTCACCTCAAGGCTCAACATAACTGTCCGACCTGCAGCCTCTCTCGCTCCTCTGTCTGTATATGGCAAGCCATTAGTGCCAAAAAACGTCACTCTTGTAGCATGTTTTGCTAACAAAACGGCGTAAAAAGCGGGGTTTTGTTAACTAAACAAACGGCGTAAACAGCGTTTTCTAAAATGATAATGAGCTCCGTCCTGTGGATTTTACAGCCACTAAATTTGAACTGTTGTCACCCAATCAGTACAGAAGAAGAACAGACCACACTAATTCAGCACTGATCTACTTTACTGTGATCGTAGCCACACAAAGGCAGAAAGTAACCAGACAAGCATGAAAAACTCATGTCCCAGACTGATCAAGTAAATTGACTACATTTACTAAAAATGTTTAACTACTCTAGGTTATAGCTTGTAACATCTATTGATTGATGATTTTAGATCAAATTTGATATAAATAATTAATTTGCATTTTATTTATCACTGTCAGATTAAAGTATCTCCAAAAATAGAACATACAAACACAAAGAAAGGCAACCTGACACAAACGTGTGTTTCAGTCGATACAGGGAAAACACAGCTTGTCATTTATTCCCTGGCTGGAAACTTTTTATTTATTTATCCAAAGCTATCCTTCCGGACTCCTGCGATAATATTTGTTACCCCAAAACGCTACACTATACAAGTTGCTACAAAAACATATCTTATTCCATATTTATATGTTTCCACATTTATTTATGTTGACTGTATGTTTGTCTACATGTAGCACCTTATCACCACAGCAAATTCCTCGTATGTGTAAAACACTACTTGACAATAAAGCTCATTCTGATTCTGAAAAGGCATCTGCAGGCTATTAAGATACTTGGTTTTAAAAAAAACACTGCATTGCTTTCCTCCAAAATGGATATATTTGAGAAAGGTTACCTGAAGTCTTTGTGAAAGCATACCTTCTGATGATACCTAAGCTAAATAATAAGATGCATGTTTTGAAATCATGTTAATCATCAATAAGCTATCTTTACATTGTGAATAATGTTGGCTGATAATGACAAAATGAAATCAGTTTGAAAGGTTGAAATTTATTTTACTGTGTAAACCACACAACATTCAAAATTATTATTATGAACAACCAGGATAAAGAATCTGTCAGACTATTTGTGAGAGACAATTGATTGGAGTCTTTACTACTACTAGATATTTGACTTAATACTTATACATGCAGCGTTTTTTTAAAACCAAGTATCTTAATAGGCTGCAGATGCCTTTTCAGAATCAGAATGAGCTTTATTGTCAAGTAGTGTTTTACACATACGAGGAATTTGCTGTGGTGATAAGGTGCTACATGTAGACAAACATACAGTCAACATAAATAAATGTGGAAACATATAAATATGGAATAAGATATGTTTTTGTAGCAACTTGTATAGTGTAGCGTTTTGGGGTAACAAATATTATCGCAGGAGTCCGGAAGGATAGCTTTGGATAAATAAATAAAAAGTTTCCAGCCAGGGAATAAATGACAAGCTGTGTTTTCCCTGAATCGACTGATACACACGTTTGTGTCAGGTTTCCTTTGGCCTGGATTTAGGATGATATGGTAAAACAAAGCTTTGTAGAAACAAGGGTAGGCTCGCTATCAATACTACACCGACTGAAGGGGTCATAAAAAGACAAATGAGGCTTAACCTGTTCACTGATGACCATGTAAAGATAGTTGTTCCACTTACGGTGATTTCTTACTTTCTTTGTGTTTGTATGTTTTATTTTAGGAGATACTTTAATCCGACAGTGATGATAAATAAAATGCAAATTATTTATTTATGTCATATTTGATCTAAAATCATCAATCAATAGATGTTACAAGCTATAACCTAGAGTAGTTAAACATTTTTAGTAAATGTAGTCAATTTACTTGATCAGTCTGGGACTTGAGTTTTTCATGCTTGTCTGTGGTTACTTTCTGCTGTTGGGTGGCTACGATCACAGTAAAGTAGATCAGTGCTGAATTAGTGTGGTCTGTTCTTCTTCTGTACTGATTGGGTGACAACAGTTTAAATTTAGTGGCTGTAAAATCCACAGGGCGGAGCTCATTATCATTTTAGAAAACGCTGTTGTTTACGCAGTTTGTTTTGCTAACAAAATACCGTTTTAAACGCCGTTTTGTTAACTAAACGCCGCTTTTTACGGCGTGCCAAAATGTGTTTTTCGCGGCGTTTTTATACACAAAACGCCGTTTTAAACGCCGTTTTGTTAGCAAAACATGCTACAAGAGTGACGTTTTTTGGCACTAATGGCTTGCCATACTATGGCCAGTGCACGCGCGCACACGGATCGAAGTCAGGAAGCTGATCAGCGGACATTGACGACAACTACGCTGGTTAGTGTACGTACGTGGTGCAATAAAGACTTAACTATTAACTACTAATTCTTTACCAACACTCCTGTTTAATAAGCATAAAAATACAAAACATGATGTTTTAATCTGCTCAGTCTCTCTTCCACCAAAGCTGTGTTTTGGTTTTACACAAGCACAGCGCTTGTTCAGATAATAGCTTATTGTTACAGAAAAAAGTGAAAGCTGTCTGTCTTTAGTTTGCCACTCACATTCAAATATGGCACATTATAAACTCAGCTGGTGGCCAGCAGACCTTCCTCTCTTCCTGCAGCAGCAGAGGGAGGAGGAGGACAGGAGGGACTGAGCTGTTATTATTATTATTACATTATTATTATTTCTAAACTTATGTTGATGTCAAGAATATGATCTATTTTACTGATATGTTAGATTTGTTTCCAGTGAGCTATTAGTGACTTTGCTGTTGTAAATCCTGTTGTTGCTCTAGAAACAACATTTAGTTAATAAAAAATGTTATTATTTTTTATGGCTATATGCA